CGACTAAGTCTGTCCCTGCTGTGTGTTCTTCCTCATGGGTCCGGCAGACAAACGATCGATCACTCATACCAATTGAATCTCTCCGGGTGTCAAAATTTTAAATTCCAACCCGCTTTGTGTAAAACCCTTCACCCTTTTTGGCCTCCCTGCAACTTATAACCTACGCACTCAACCGTGAGCACTGAAGATCCGGTCGGATTCTAGTCTGATATCGCCCGCACTCGACAACATGCAGTACATACTGGAATTTTGGAGTTTACTCCGTCCACTGTATTACCTTATGGATACTGAGGGAACACGTGGACTGATTTTCCGCACAATTCACACACAGTCAGCCTCATCTACCTTTGATGACAACTTATACTTTCCTCTTTCTTTTCATTTCCCTTCAAGTCAAGTCAAGAAATCGTTTCATATACCTCGATAGGGTGGATATTCAGCAACCACATAGCCACAGTGTGTAAACGATGAAAAAAAGGGCGAAATGTAATATAGCAATTTAAAGAAGTGAAACGCATAGCAATATCAAAATAACAATGCTATACTAGGATGTTTATGATTGGTTTAGTTTAGCAGTTTGCGCAGATTTTCTGCAACGGATTCATCGGTTGTAAAAAGTCTGGCGAGCTACGGTACAACGAAGCACCGTTTATTGACTATACGAAGACATTTTTTTGGGAATGGGAAAGTAGCCAAACAAGGGGCTTCCATTCAGAACACACATGGGAAAATTAGGCACTGGTGATGGGATTCGAACACCCAATCCCGGGTTGATAATTTCGGTGACGTTACCACTGGGCCATTGTGCATGTTGTCTCGGATGTTCGAAAAATTTTGCTTTGTTTCGCATTTCAGATCTCCAAATGAATATTTTGTGGACGAATACCGATCACAATCATGTAAGTCAGATGGTATAATGTGCACAGTCGTTGTCAAGATGAATGATGTTCATCTGTGGGGATTGTTTTTTTGCCCCCCCCCCACTCTAGACCATTCGAGTATATTATACCATGGCTTTGAAAATAACAATATCCCTTGTTGATTTTTGCATTTTAAGTGAATAGACAAAAAGCACAGAGGTACAGTAATTGAATATCGCTCTCACACTTGCCCTTATTCTGTACAGTGTGGTTGTTGCTGGTACATAGTTGATCAAAATTGCCAACCTGAAGTATTCGGAATAGGGATCGAAATCGAATAGCGCGAACTTGAAATCGGACTGAAAATCCAGTNCACAAGACAGTAGTGGCCGAGACCAATCGTGCGTCCAGATCGTTGTGTTGTCAGCTAGTCTCCTTGGCTTCCAATACTGCTCGTCAAAGGTTCGTTCTGCTTTTTTCTGAAAGGCAAAATATTTAGGTGCAAAATCTCATCCCCCAGATATGTAGAAATGAAAGACATTATTACAGGAACGACTCACCTTGTTCCGTTATTGTCCCTCAAATGGCCAGCTCCGG